GTCATCAGATCACAGGGACCTCAGAGGACAGTGAGTTTCACCAATCCCCTCCTTCCTAGAGAAGGAAAATGAGGGAAATTTTCAATCATCTGCCTGAGGTGACACAGGGAACAGGTGGAAGAGGTAGGATTTGAACCCAAATTCTCTGACTCCCAAACCAGGGTTCTTTCTAATGCACTGCATTCAGCCATACTCCTAGACCCAAGGGACAATCCCCCAGGGGTGTAAGCCCTGGAGCCAGACTTCTGTCCCTCTTCCTCTGAGCTATCCTGGGTACTGACTTCTGCCATGTAGAGACTAGTGTAGGGCAGTCACCCCCACTCAAACTCTCTGGCAGAGCCAAGAATGGGTCTCTGGGGTTGGCACACCTCAGGTTAGGTTAATGGGTCCCAAAGACTAACTCGCTATGATTCCTGTAGGAGGCTGGTGCTGGCTGACCTCACCATCCAGACTTGGCCCCAGAGTGTCCCAGTAAGAGAAATAACCCATCAAGGCTGTGATAAAGAAAGGTAGCATGTGCTTTGAAGCTGGGAGGGGGAAGGAGACACATCCAGAGCTGGAAGGATGAAATGGAAATATCTCACCTGCCCTTTCACAAAAAGGTACGCCAAGACCCAGACAATGGAAGATGCTGGCCTGGAAAGTCATGGGGTGATGGGATTCTCAGCTGGGAAGTACCTGAGACCAGCTAGTTCAATTTTTTTTTTTTTAGAGAAAGACACTGAGGCTCAGGGACATCAGCAACCTGCCCAATTTCCACAGAAGTCTTATTATTGCAGGGACTATTTGGTTAAGAAATCTTTGGGACTGGGAAGCAGGAGTCACTGGACTCCTGCTGGCCAGGACAGAAATCCTCCAGGGTTCCTCTCTCTACCGTTAGGCCCGTGGAACTCTGACAAACCACTCCCCCCCCCCCATTATACAGCCAGAAGTCAAGCCCCGATGTTTTGATTCCTGATGATATGTTCTTTCCAACAACCCTGATGGCTTCTCTAGCCCTGATTTTCATGGCTGATGACCCCACCCCTCAACTCTGGGTGGTGTTCTCACCTCTTAGAGTCACCTTCTGTATTTCCTTCACAATGATGATCCAAAGTGGATTTCTTGTGGACATCGATGGGAGTAACACAATTTTTTGCATCCCCAACCTCTTCCCCATTAGAACTTTACCTCCTTTGGAAACGAGTCTTCAACCAACTCCAAGCCATGCTGACACAAGAATTCTGCCTCTCTAATCCAACTAACTCCTCTTTGTTTTCCCCCATTAAAATGTTGGCTCCTTGTGGGCAGAATATCTTGCTTTGCTTGTATGTGCATTTCCATCACATGCCTGGCACATAATTAAGTGCTTAATATTATAAATGCTGTGTGTGTGTGTGTGTGTGTGTCTGTGTCTCCTTTCCCTTTCTCCTTCTCACTGTGTCTCCTCTCCCTTTCTTCTTCTCTCTGTGTCTGTCTCCCTGTGTGTCTCCTCTCATTTTTTTCTTCTGTCTCCCTTCCCTTTCTCCTTCTCTCTGTCTGTCTCTGTTTGTGCCTCCTTTCCCTTTCTCCTTCTGTGTCTGTCTCTGTTTGTGTCTCCTTTCCCTTCTCCTTCTCTCTGCCTCTGTTTGTGTCTCCTTTCCCTTTCTCCTTCTCTCTGTGTCTGTCTGTGTCTCCTTTCCCTTTCTCCTTCTCACTGTCTTTCTCCCTGTGTGCCTCCTCTCACTTTCTTCTTCTCTGTGTGTCTCCCTGTGTGTCTCCTCTCACTTTCTTCTTCTGTGCCTGTCTCTGTTTGTGTCTCCTTTCCCTTTCTCCTTCTCTCTGTCTGTCTCCCCTTTCCTTTTCTCCTTCTCTCTGTGTCTGTCCTCTCCCTTTCTTCTTGTCTCCTTTCCCTTTCTCCTTCTCACTGTCTCCCTGTGTCTCCTTTCCCTTTCTCTTTCTCACTGTCTCCCTGTGTGTCTCCTCTCCCTTTTTCCTTCTCTCTGTGTCTGTCTGTGTCTCCTTTCCCTTTCTCCTTTTGTGTCTGTCTCTGTTTGTGTCTCCTCTCCCTTTCTCCTTGTGTCTGTCTCTGTGTCTCCTTTCCCTTTCTCCTTCTCACTGTCTGTGTGCCTCCTCTCACTTTCTTCTCTCTGCGTCTGTCTCCCTGTGTGTCCCCTCTCACTTTCTTCTTCTGTGTCTGTCTGTCTCCTTTCCCTTTCTCCTTCTCTCTGTGTCTCTGTTTGTGTCTCCTTTCCCTTTCTCCTTCTTTTCTGTGTCTGTCTCTGTCTCCTTTCCTTTTCTCCTTCTCTGTGTCTGTCTCTGTGTCTCCTTTCCCTTTCTCCTTCTATCTGTCTGTGTGTGTACGTGTGTGTCTCCTCTCCTTTTCTCCTCCGTGTTTGTTTCTGTCTCTGTGTATGCACACATCTCCTCTCCCTTTCTCTTTCACTCTCTGTCTATCTCCCTCTGTGTGTCTCCTCTCCCTTTCTCCTTCTCTCTCTGTGTCCGTCTCTGTCTCTGGGTCTATCCCTCTTTTTGTGTCTGTCTCTCCTTCTCTCTGTGTCTCTCCTCCCTTTCTCCTTCTCTCTGTGTGTGTCTCTGTCTCCCTCTCTCTCTCTCTTCCTTTCACTCTGTATTTTTTGACACCTATTGTGTACCTTGGAGTCCACCTAGTCCAATACGCTCACATCACAGATGCAGACCCCTGGGCCCACAGAGGGGAGGTGACCAGCCAAAGATGATGTGCAGAACTGACTCCAAAAGAAGTGTTGAGCCCAGGTCTTCTGGTTCTTCCCATGATGGACAGCTCTAATTGCTTGGAAGGTTTTCCTTAAGTAGCATCTTTGGGGGATGCCAAGGAGATATGGCCACTGAACTCCTGCTGGCCAAGATGGAAATCCTCCAGGGTTCCTCTCTTCTGCCTTCTGCCTAGGATGTTGGCTGATGGAACTCTGACAGTCCTTCCCACCACAGGCTCTGGGTGTGGAGGTGGGAGTCCAAACAGCCAAAGCTTTGCAAAAGGAAAGGCTGGGACTTCAAGGAGCCCACCAGGAAACAGTAGAGAGGGAATACCAGCCTTGAGAACCCCAGGACAGGGACAGCACTACTGAGCTAAGAGCCAGAGGCACAGAGCAGGTATGGAGGCTGCCAAAGCTGCTGAGGCCAAGGATGGCAATTCTTCACACCCTTCCTTTCACCCTGATTCTCCTCACGTGAACATGTGTCTGTCACTTGGTTTCTTTTTTTTTAAGGCAATTGGGGTTAAGTGACCTGCCCAGGGTCACATAGCTAGTAAGTGTCAAGTGATTGGTCTGAGGCCAGATTTGAACTCAGGTCCTCCTGACTTCAGGGCCGGTGCTCTATCCACTGCACCACCTAGCTGCCCCTGTCACTTTGTTTCTTAAAAGTCTGCTTGCTTCCTGTTTCCCATTTGTTTCAAAATCTGGTTTTCTAAGAGAAAGGTGAGTAGCTACTGCATGATTAACCTCTGCTTCATTATTCAAATGCAATGTAAAAAGGGTAACAAGAGAGGGAAGAGACAGAGAGGAGGTGACAGAGAGAGAAAGTGAGAAAGAGGCAGAGAAAGACAGCTGCGGTGGAGGTGAGGTGGGAGTGGGAAGAGTTAGGGAGAGATTTCACAACTGCAGTATATATTCGGGGCAGCTAGATGGCACAGTGGATGGAGCACTAGCCTTGGAGTCAAAAAGATCCAAGTTCAAATCCAGCCTTAGACACATAACACTTACTAGCTGTGTGACCCTGGGCAAGTCACCTTAAGTAGTTTGGGTGTGAAGGGGCTGTGAGTGGTGATGTCTTTGCCATTTTCCCTCTCCATTGTCTTGAGAAGCAGGAAAGGCTGGGGCCAGTGACAGGGAGAGAGCCACCCCACTGACTCTGCTAAGTGCTATCAAGCCTCTCCTTTTTTCTGTGCAGCTTCTGCCCACCACTCTCAGCCTGCCCCTCTGCAGCCAACACAACAAGCCCATCTCTCTTCCACGGGACAGTCCTTCAAACACTTCATGAGACAAAGGAAGTGGGCCAAAGGGCTGGGCTGATGCCGGGCCCTGCTGGGGGGAAACATCCCCACCTGTTTCAGAGGCAGAGGGACAGTCTTGTCAACCTCTCCCACACCTGAAATGCTCCTTTACACCTCTTCCCTCCTAAACAAGCCAATACCCTCCACCTACTTTTACACTGCCCCGCTGTCAGCAGGGGAAAGGGGTGGGGGTGGGGTCTTCACTTGGCCCCTCCCACCCTAACCCAGAATGGCATTGGGAGCCGGTACAAGTCGTTCCTGGACTAACATGGTATTCCCCACTCCTCCACTCCAGACACTCTGGGACCGTTGTTAGCTTCCCAAAAGTCCCAATAGCATTCCCGTCGGGTTTCCCACAGAATAGAGAGGTCATTCAATGCATTATCCCTGTATCACCCAGGGAACACAGATATGGGGTGAACAGGAAAGGAAGGGAAGGAATCATTTCGCCCACAACATCTAGCCTAGACCCTTCCATGAAATGATGCCCCCAGCAGCTGGCCCTGCCTCCTGACTAGTCCCTTTCACTCCATCCCTACATGCTCCAGTATTCCCATTTCCACAGTTCCCAAACACGGTCCTCCTGCACTTTGGACACACTGGGGCTTCCAGGATGATCGGTGAAAGCCCATGTGTGCAGCAGTGTGGCAGAAGCCTGGGGTCCAAACGTAGCGGGGGCCCTGCCACTTCCTCGTTCCACCCTTAGATTCCACAAAGGCCATGCTAACAGCTCTGGAAGGGCACCTCCAGTCTTCCTTGGGTCCCCCATAAAGTAGGACCTGCTTGAAGACCCAACTACTCGTTCCTCTCCCCATTTCCTGGAAGGACCAAACCCTGGCAAACCCACAGCTGCCGGATGCTGGGGCCTATTGCTCACATTCTGGAAGATCTTCAGCTAGGCCACACCGCACCCACCACCACCTCTACAGGTACCACCCAGGCAGGCAGCCTCCCTTGCACTGCAGCCCTCCGGGGGGAGGTCTGTCCATCGGGCCTGGGCCACCTCCAGCCGTTGCCACGGGGCCTCGGCATGCTGGCTGTCCTTCCGTCAAGGGGCGGGGTCCTTTCCCTCCTCTTGTCCTTCGCACTCCCTCCGCAGGCCTCAGCCATCACTGTGCACCTTCCCGTGCTGCAGCAGGCTGCTGGGGTGGGTGAAGGCCTCGCCGCAGACGTGGAAGTTGTAAGGCGCGTCTCCGGCGTGCACCTTCTCGTGCACAGCGCGGTGCGCCACGTCCTTGAAGAGCTTGGGGCAGTAGCGGCAGCTGAAAGGGTGGGCCGGGCTGTGCACCCGGCCGTGCTGCACGAGCAGCGAAGGCCGGGCAAAGGCCTTGCCGCACGTGGAGCAGGCATAGGGCCGTTCGCCGGTGTGCGAGCGCTGGTGCACCGCCAGGTAGGACGACTGCTTGAAGGCCTTGCCGCACGTGGCGCACGGGTACGGGCGCTCGCCCGAGTGCACGCGGCGGTGCGAGGTGAGCGCGTTGGACTGCTTGAAGGCCTTGGCGCACAGCGGGCAGGCGAAGGGCCGCGCCCCGGTGTGCACGCGCTCGTGCACGCGCAGGCTGTGGCCGTACGTGAAGCGCTTGCCACACGCGCCGCACGCGTGGGGCTTGTCCTCGCAGTGCTGGCGCCGGTGCAGCAGCAGCGCGGGCGCAGCCGCGAAGGCCTTGCTGCAGTCCGGGCAGGCGAAGGGCCGCGCCGAGGCGTGCTGCGAGGAGTGCCGCTGCAGCTCGTAGGGCGACTTGAAGCGTTTCGGACAGGCCGGGCAGGGGAAGGGCCGCTGGCCGGTGTGGATGCGGCGGTGCTCCTGGGGGAGGGGAGGGGAGGAGAGGGCGGAGCTGACGGGGCGCTCGCAGCGGAGCTGCCTGGCCTGCGCCCCCCTCCCGCCGCTCCCTGCTTCCCCCTTTACTCGCCCCCCCGCCCGCTTCGCCCCCTGCTCTCCCTCCCTCCCGTCTCACTTTTCTCCACACGGCCCCCTCTGTTCCTACCCTTGGCCTTCTCAATTCAAGTCAACTCATCAGTTTCGTTGAGCGAGTATTTATTAAGTGCATCCCGCGTGCCCAGCATTTTGTAAGAGCCGGGGGATCTTATCGCTCTGGGAGAGCGAGAGGAGCGGCTAAGAGAATGCAAAACCAGATGCGGTGCCGGCCCGCGGGGCTCTTCCGGCCACCACGGATACTGTTACCACTGGATCTTTAGGAGCCAAATACAGTGTCGTGGATGAAACATCTGAACCTGACGTTTAGGCGCTACATTGAAAACACCCTGCTGCGAGGAAATCGGGAGACTGCGTGTGTTGTTATATTGGATTTAGAAGATTTGTGAGATAAACTGGGGGGAGGACAAAGAGAAGAAAGGATAAACTTTTTCTTGTGAGAACTGTCTTAACATTTATGTTATGGGGGCATTTTTTTCTGTAAAGAGTCTGAGGAATTAGCACTTAGTGTATACTAGAAAGAATTTTTTTGTGCTGGCTAAAGGGAGGGAAAAATGACTAATATAACGTTTCCGAAGACACTGAATTTAACTCTCGAGAAGAAATAGGAAGAGGCTTCTTGAGAAGCTTTAATCAGTATCTGAAGAGCTGAACGGTGGCTTCAGGTTTCCAGCAGTGAAGAGAAATCAGTCATCTGCTTTAACAGTGAGGATTTGAGGCGACTCTGGCTGTGACTTTTCTCATGGCCAAAATACTATAAACAATTACCGTGCTTCTGTATATTATTGATTTCATTTACTGATAAATTTTATATTTAGTAATGTTAACATTTATTTAATCACACACAACTGATTTGGTTTAAAAGGAAGTATGAGTAATTACTATTTGGGAAAGTCCTTTGGTTTATTAAATAAATAATATTTCATGAATTTGGGATGGAAATGAAATCTAATTTGTGAGAAACGTGTTGAAATTTTATTAATAATGATAAAGAAAATATCCCAAAATACCCCTGGCATTCCCAATCAGGGATATGCAGAATGTATGAGAAGTTTGTCAAGGGAACCTGGGGAAGATAGGTAAATAACTAAATTATTCTATTGAAATATTCTAGAAACTCTGAATTTTATTCCAACTAGTGAAATTATAAAATGTTGGGATTATCCTTAGAGAATAAAAAGTAATCTCTTTTTGTTTCTTATGTGCAAATGCATAGTAGACACTAGAATATGCTTCTTTTCACACTGAGCAGAGGAAAGGGAAAGGTTTACTGAAAAGCCAAATGGTACTGAACAAAAATAGGTTGGGGAGCCCTGCTATAGAGCTTGGGATAATAATAGGAAATATGGGAATGAGTCAAGAAGCAGGATAAGGGGTGACCTACAAATAAGTGTGGTTGACCCTACTGTGCTTTATATAAATATGCAAACACATATAAAATATTTACTTTATGTACAAGATTGCTTAATTTCAAGATGGATGAGAGATCAGGAAAGACCTTCATGCAGGAGGCACCAGGGTTGTATTCCGAAGGAAGCTAGGGAATCTAAGAGGTAGAGGTGAGGAGAAGGGAGAGCATTTCAGAGGCATGAGACCAAGAGAAGGAAAGGGAATGTTGTGAAGAGGGGACAGGTAGCTGGTAGGTCTGTGTGCCTAAAACCAAGAGTAAAGGCCAGGAACAGTGTGAAAGAAGATTAGAAAGGTAGGTGGTCACCATATTGGGAAGGGCTTTACATGTCAGGCTGAAAAGTCTGTTTTTGGCGCTGGGGGCAGTAGGGAGCCACTGGGCATTCTTGAGCAAGGGAGTAACGTGGTCACACATGTGCTTTAGGAACAGTGGCTTTGGCAGCTGCTCAGAGAATGAGCTAGAGTGGGTCTGAAGCTGAGCCCTGGTCCTGTGCAAGATGGTTGAGAGATAATGAAGAAGAAGAATCAAAGACTTCACAGCTCATTGGCCGTGGGAAGTAAATAAAAGTCATCAGGAGCCCAGGCGACTTGAAGGAGGGCGGGGGTAAACTCGAGGAAGGGTACATCTCAAAGAATAAATGATGAGTTCCACCTTAGAAGTGCTGAGCTCAAGACAGCTACGGATGAGCGACACCCAGCAGCAAGTCAGTAATAACCGACCGGAGTTTGGGAGAAATATATGACAAGGACTTGAAGGGGTGTCTTGAGAAAGGGAAGCTTTTCTAAAGCCGGGAGAGAACTGGGCATATCTGTAAGCAGGCAATAGCTAAAGAGAATTTTAATATGGATGAAAGACAGGAGGGGAAAATGATTAAAGAGGCAAGCTCCTTGAGGAGAGGGCAGGAAATGGGGTCACCGGCTACTTTTGGCCTGAAGGGCCTCGTCATCCTCTGGGCTGGGAAGGGACAGAGAACGAGGAGAAGCAGGAGGAGCTCAGTGAAGATGACAGTGAGTGTTTGTGGTCAGCACAGCTGTTCGACTTTACCCAATAGTTCAGCATTAGGAACAGGGAAGACAGATGGTGACGGTAACCCACGCCAGGGCTTGGCAAGGCGTGGCTTCTGAGAGGACGAGGGGGCAAGGGATTCAGGAAAAGAGGACAGGGTATAAGTTTACCTGGCCAACCCTAGGATCAAGTCTGTGAAAGGAGGAAAATGAGACCAGAGCAGGAATGATGACCTTGGAGGGACACAGGGAGAGAACTGACCTCCCTCCTTCCATGTCCAGCCTGTCTGCCCACCCTCTCCTCCTCCCCGTCTTCTCCACATCTCCCCTTCTCCTCCCTCCTCCTTTCCAAACCTCTAATCTTTCCTTCCCTGTTCACCATCTTCTTTCTCAATGTCTCCTCTTCCTCCTCCCCTCCCCAATGTCTTCTCCACCACATCCCCTTCTGCTCTATTCTTCCCCCCCGCTTCACCATCTTCTCTTTCTCAATGTGTCTCCTTCCCTCTCTTTCCCCAGCACCTCCTCTTTGCCTTTCTCTCTCTTTCATCTTCTCTCACTCCCTCCCAGCTCTCCTGTCCCCCTTCTCCCCTGGCTTACCCGCAGGTTGCTGGCTCTCTTAAAGCCCTTGCCGCAGGCCTCACAGGTATGGGGCCGCTCCTCACTGTGGACCAGCCCGTGACTCTTGAAATCAGAATGACGCTTGAAGGCGGCATCACACAGGTCACAGCGGAAGGGCCGAGCTGACTTGTGGACGACCTCATGGCTGAACAGCTCCCACGCCCGCTTGAAGTGTTTGCCACAGGCTACACAGAGGAACCGCTTACCCTCCATGAGGCCCTCCCGGGAGCCGGGCAGGGCTGCCTCTGACTCTTCCTCTTCCTCTGCCTCTGCTTCAGCCTCTTCCTCCTCTGCCGGGGCCTCTCCAGAAGCCTCAGCCACAACCCTGGTAGTGGCGGCCACTGTCCTGCCTCGGACGAGACGGGCTGTAGAGTGGACCCCATCATCACTAATGAGATGGACCAGGCCCCGGATGGAACCAGCCTCCCGCTCTGGCTCCACTGCTGCCACTGGCTGTTCCTCCTCTTCCTTTGGGGACACTTTAGGCTCCTGGGAAAGGAAGAAACTGTGGCTTAAATGAAATCCGAAACAGGCCAGAGAGTCAGTCCACCCAAGTCCCTGGGAAAGCCAAGGACAAAAACGTTATTGTGACTCTTGAGGGCACCCCCACCCTCCTAGGAGTCCTCCTGGACTCCTCACTATCTTTCACCTCATAGCCAAGCTGGTGCCAAGGCCTGATGGTGTCACCTCTGCAGCACCTCTCAAAATATACCCCCTTCTCTCCTCTTGCACCGCCCCCACTGTTCTCTTGCAGGCCCAGTCACCTCACAGCCTGACCACTGCGATAGCTGTGGGCCCTCCCCACTCCAGTCCATCCTCCCTTCAGCCACCAAAGTGCAGTCACCCCCTCCTCAACATGTCAACCCCCTACATCACCTCCAGGACCAAATACGAAGTGCTGTTTGGCACTGAAAGCCCCTCCCAGCTCTCCAGCCTCCTTCTGCCTCCCTCCCCAACATGTACTGTCCTTTTCCATCCAGTGACCCCAGCCCCTCCATCTCCTGGCTCTGGGTTTTTTTTTGCTGTCTCCCACAACTAGAATTTTCTCCCTCATTGCCTCTGCCTGCTCGCTCCCCTGGCTTCCTTCAAGCCCCAGCCTCTCGCCTTCTTTACCAATTTTAATTTCTGTGCTTTCATTTTCTTAATTATTTTTTATTGGTCCTCTGCAGATCTTGTTTGTATGAGCTCCTTGTGGGCAGGGGCTGTTTTCTGCCTTTCTCTGTGTCCCCAGAACTCAATACGGTGCCTGGCATGTAGTAGATGCTTAATAAATGCTTGTTGACCTAACCTATTAAGGGCCCCAGAAGGTAGAAGTGGCAGCAAAGCATGGCAGCAGGGAGGGAGGCAGGTTCAGAGAAGGACATGAGCCATCCCCAAAGGCCAAGATGCTGGTGCTCATGGGGCCCATAGGCTGTGGAAGAGACTTTGACGAGATGGCTTTGGAGGGCTGCCCCGCTGCTCTGCCTCTCTCTAACTCTGTACTTCTGTGAAGACAGAGGTAGAGGAGAAAAGAAGAAGAGGGCACGAGGACTGGGCCCCTGCTATGGAGGCAGCTGCCGGGACAGAGCACCACGGGCCCAGCCCTACGCCCCTCGACAGGAGCCCACCCTATTGTCAGCCAGACCTTCAGCTCCTTTGTTTTTGGTCTCGGTAGCCTCATCACTCAGCACAGTGACTGGCACACAGAAGGTGCTTAATCAATGTTTGTTGATTGACACACTGAATTTGCAGTCTGCTGGATTGTCAAGGCTCCCCATTATGTACCTGTGAAGCTGACTTTCTGAACCCAAGAAAATACCTTTCTATTTATCTCTATTAAGTTTTGCTGCTCTAATATGCCCCAGCATTGTGGTTAATTAAGAGCTTTTCCAGTCCTGATTAGGCAAACTACACAATAGCATTCCCTTGAATGGCACAGCAGGGTGCTTAATCAATGCTTATTCCCGTCCCTTCCCTAGATCACGCAAGCACACGATGAGATTCGTGTGGCCTCCCCGGATCCTGAGGGAGCCCTGCTGCTGGCTTTTGTAAATGGGTGCTCACAACCATCCTTCACAGAACGTCTTTTTTCAAACCTGACCTGTGAGCGCATCAGCCTAGGGGAACTTGGCAGGAAGGGCTTCAGACCAGCTCCTTCACTGCCAGGGGCACTGAAGTGACTTGCCCAGGACCATCTGGACGGGACAGGACGGGCAGAGGACTTGAACCCAGCTCCTCCTGACTGCAAGGCCAGCTCCCTATCCATGATGCTATACTGTCCCTCCCCTTTGATCCTACGTCAGAGGATCTCCACAAGAACTGAAGTGAAACTCACTCGCTCCACCCTGCCCTTCGCCATCTCCATGACCTTTCAGAGGCCACTGGCAGTGCCTCAGTCATCTCCCCCATTTGGTCTTTCATTCGGCACCCAAAGGCAGAATTCATACTGGATTTGGCTTTGGAGAAGACCTGAGTCCCAGCTCTGTCACCGACTATGTGTGACCTCAGGCAAGTCTGTTCCCTTTAGAAGGCCTCAGTTTTCCCATCTGTGAAATGAGGGAATTGCCTGAATGCCATCTGAGACCCCCTTCTGGCTCTAGATTTAGGGGGCTCTGATCTAAAGACTTGAATATGACTTCTGGGACACGTGCTCAAGAAGATGAAGGCCAAGACCCTTTCTCTAGCCACAAAAGAGACAAGGTGATTCAGCTGCTTCCACAGGATACCAAGAACCCCAGGAAGGTAAAGCAGACTCAGTCAGCAAACACTTTTTAGGGGCCTGCTATGTGCCAGGCACTGGGCTAAGTGCTGGGGACGTGAAGGAAGGCAAAAAGAGTCCCTGCTCCCATACCTGTAAGAAAGATTTTAGGGTTAGACTGCCACAGCAGGATAAGAAATTCCAAGATCTTGTGGACAGTCCCTCAACCAATCAGAAAGTACTCCAAACTTTTCTATAAACAACTAGTTCCTTAAGAAAGAACCCTAGAGGCTAAGCCAGTTGCAACCAGTCGGGTTCAAGGATGAGGCCTTGATAGGGCAAAGGCTTTTCTCCACTGTGCTTGCTTAATAAGCTTATTGAATAAGAACTGACACATCCCAAGGGCAGAGATAGCCACCATTTTTGAACATGGGACCCATGAAGTGGGCAGAGTTAACAGAACATGGGCGAACATGTGATGGGCTGTCCAGGAAGGGTATAACTCAAATGAACTAGGAGCCCTGATGGGTGGAGTATGGATCTTACTAACGGTTTAAAAGTTGATTCTACCACTGAACCAGTGCCCGCGTGCTACTAAAGTGCATTGTGCCCGCTTCTCTCACGAGAAGCGTAATAAAGACTTTCCTTCACTCACTCACTGTAGTAGATTTTTGTTTCAGATTTTTCTAACATACCCATCCAAGGGGCAAAGATGATCAAAAAGGCAAATGGTAAATGTTGGAGGGACTGTGGGAAATCAGGAACAATGATGCACTCCTGGCGGAGCTGTGAATGGGCACGGTCATTCAAGGGAACAACATGGAATGGTACCCAGCTGTACCACTGCTAGGCCTAGGCCCATAAAAGACAAATGACAGAGAAAAAGGTCCGACTTGTACAAAACATATTCATAACAGCTCTTTTTGAGATGGCAAAAAACTGGAAATTAAGGGGATGCTTGTCAACAGGGACATGGCTGAATAAGTGGCAGTATGTGAATGTGATGGGTCACTACTGTGCCATAAGAAATGAAGAAACGGGGTTTCAAAAGATACAAAAAGACTTGTATGAACTGATGCAGAGGGGGCGTGAAACCAGGACAATTTAGACTCTAAACATCAACATTTAAAACTGAACAATTTTGAGGACTTTTTAAACTAAAATTTAAACAATGCGATGAGCAGAAGCAGGGAAATAATTTACACACTGACAACAATATGGTAAAAAAAAAAAGCTGTGCAGTACTCTGACCAATACCATGACGTGCAATGACCATTCAAGATTACAGAGAAATGATAATGAAACACGCTATCCATGTCAGAGAGATGAAGGATTTAGGGTGGGAATGAAACATATATTTTTGTGTACAGCCACTGGAGGAATTTGCTTCCTTGATTCTGCATATTTATCACAGAAATTTTTTTTTATTCAATGGGATGGGAAGGTAGAAGTGAAAGAAAATATATTTCTGTTAACTTTTTTAAAATAGGAGAAGTGGGGGGCGGTGCTACATATGTGAAATGGTGCATGCACTTTCAGATGAGGTCACCATGGTTTTTAGTTTTACTTACTGTTTTGCTTCATTATGAAAGATATCTCCCAAAGTGGAAGTAATCTGCAAATGTATTAATGTCAAAACAAATAAAACTGAAAGTGACAAAAATAAATAAACCAAGAGGAAAGATATTAAGAACAGCTAAAAAGTCCAGATAGTTATTAATTAATGTTGCTGACAAAGGAAAATGAATCAACAGGTAAGGAGGTCTAGCCTCCTGAGGAATCCCTGGAAGGCTGGGGAATCAGAACTGTAAAAGCAGAATGTCTGGCCTGCACAGCAGGAATAAAAGACAGCACTGAAAAACCTGACTCCTCGGTGGCTAACGTTACTGAAAAAACAAACAAGAGAAAACCACTGACTGGGAATGCGAATGCAAGAAGTGAAGGACAATCTGGAAGAAGACAAAAAGAAAGCAGCAGCATAAGAAGAAAACATGATACATACAAGTCAAAAAACCGGAACAGCACAATGCAGCACACAATATGAGAAAACTTCCCAGAACCTCTGAACACAGAAAACAAACCGCCAAGTGAAAGAATCCACAGTCACCTCTAGAAAAACAAACCAACCCTATACTGCAAACTCTAAGACAAGCAGTGGTTAAATTGAATAATTCCAATGCCAAACAATACGTTTTGCAATTGACCAGGGGAAAAGACCTTCAAATATAAAAGAAAGGAAATTCAAGTAACAAAACTATTCTGCGCGCACCAGAAACTGCAAGAGGGAATGGAATATGATGTGTCAGAAGAGCAAAGGCACTCCAGATGCAGCTCAAGGTAATGAGCCCTGAAGCTAACCATTCATGAAAAAGGTAGATATTCAGTAAAAAGGAACATCTGATACATTCCAATGAGGAAAACCAGACCCAAACAAATTGTCTGCTTAACAACAGAAATAAAAGAAAAGTAAACAAATATAGCAAGGTACAAGGAAGGCACAGATAATGAAATAAATTACCCTGGGGTTAAAAAAAGAAAAAATAAACAAAAAGGGAAATATACTTGTGAAATTAACGAAAACAAAAACAAAATAACATCAGGGAGCCCACTGAGAAATTTCCTCCTAAAAATTCCACAGGAAGACAAGGATGAAAGCAGGAGTCAAACAGAAGTGGTGGTGGAGAAAGAGACCCAAAATGTCATGGGCAAAGCCTCCCAACACTCTGTCTACAAGGGAATCAGTGATTTTCATGGGACTAAATTACAGAATGGGAGGAAGCATAAAAGGGGAGAGGTGAAAAAGATAGAGGAGAATGTGATCTAGTCTAACAATGAAGAGAAAAAACTTCTGTAGTTTCTCAGAAAAAAAGAAAGTCTATCAGAGAACAGGCAAAGAGGCAAAGGGATTGAAACGGGGGAAAGGAAGGCAGGAACCTTGAACCGATAGTGGGAAGGGATCCCACTGAAGAAGGCTATACCATGGGGGAAGAGACACGGAGATGGGGATCTTACAGTCGGTATAATCTGTGGGGCTTTGGTGCTTAGAGACTCCACTCATCCTGCCTCAGAAGGACAGAAATCAGAGCTCCTGGGAACAACCGGCACACAGAAGAGTGGGAGTGCCTGGACTTAGGGAAATGATTTCATGGAAAATGGCAACAAAAAAAAATTACCATGGAGAAAAAACTGGCATAGGAAGAACAAAGGTTAATGTTGAACTGCACAATTAGAGACAAAGAAAAATGCCTAGCACAGAGCAATATCTTCTCTATGAACTACAGTAACTGGTTTATCTAAAAGAGAGGCACAACACATAAATGGGACTGGGGTAAGATCACCAAGACAATCTCATAGAAACGGTTTAGAAGAGGGAACTCAGATGAGGTGCCTTCGCAGGTTTAATTTCCATGAGAAAGACAGAGACTAAGAAAGGACTAAATGAGTGTTAGCATCGTTAATCAAAGGGTGAAAGACTAGTAGCCACAGAAAGGGAAGGGAAATAATAAAGAGAATAGAGCAAAGAAATCCTTCTTAGAAAAACAGGCAGAACATGAATTTTAAAACCTAAAAGAAAATTAGTTTAAGGGGAGGAAAGGGGAGAAAGATTTTATCTAACAGAGAAAAAAGAGGGGAAGATTAAAAGAAACTAATTATGTTAGTCAAAACTAGGGAAGGGGATAACAACCAGGAGTGGGGCAGGGGCTTGAGGGTTTGAGGAAGAGAGCCAAGGAGAACAGGGCTGCTTTAACACAGGATTAAGCTAAAATAATTGAAGGAGAAAAAAATAGTCTTTACAGAGGAAATGAGAGAAAATCCTAATTCAGAAAAAAAATATATTAGAGACAAATGGAGGAAGATATAAACCTAATTCTGATAACTTTAAATAGAAATGGATTAAATAACCCAACAAAACAAGAGTGACAATTAGATAAGAAAACAAAGCCCACAATGTGCTACTTGTAAGAAACATAACTGAAAAATTAAAGATATAATAGACAATAAAGACAGCACAAAATCGAGGGACTGGAACAAACTTCCCTCTGCCTCAGATGAATACAAGAAAGCAGGACTTGTGATCAAGCTGCTGCACCAGCCGAGGACTTGGGTTCCTTCACGGCAATGGGCAGCTCTCTGACTCGAGCTCCTCACAAGGCCAGGTGGGCATTTCCGATCTTTCCTTCCAAGGCAAAGAGCCCTCTCCTTGGGAGAGAAAGCAGAAACAAAACGAGTAACGAGCAGCCCTCGACAAGAAGGGCCTGGTTGTCATCCTCCCCGCTCTGCAGCTATCGTCCACTCTTCCTCAGCTTCTCCTTTCTCCCAACAGACAGAAAAGCAGACACACAGACCCAGCCCCATTCCTAATCCTCACCCTAGAATCCCCTGCTCCTCTGTCCTATCAGCAGTCATTCCTTACCAACCCGCACCTTGGACTACAAACAGAGCAGAAGAGAAGCTTGACTTGTCACGGTGGGGGATCGGAATGCTCCTTGCTCCCCACTACCACCTGCAGCCTCACCTGGTCACTCAGTAGACTCTCCTCCTCTGAGGTTCATTCAGTCCATATTTTTTACCAAATTAAGATTCCCACGGCTGCTATCTACCAGCCCTCAGGACCTTCTCCTTTCTTCCTCAGTGAGCTGTATCTGGCTCAGTGTCTCCTTCCCAACTCTCCTCATACTAGGAGACTTCAGCCTGCATACTGATAACCGGCCAGTTCCTCAATGACCTCCTGCTCCACCTCACCTCAGCCACACACAAGTGTTCGTGAACTCTGAAATCCCCTCCTGTGATCCCACCATTTTATAATTCCATCTTTATCTCTACTTTACAACTCCTAATGCCGTTCTTTGTCCTCACCTTGACCTCAATCCCTCCACCCCTTGGTTCTTTCCAGACCATCACCACTGCAATGGCTACACTCGCCTCCTTTCTCCATCTTGACCGCTTGGGGAATCACTTCAACTCATCACTGTCCTCTTGTCTCGAGTCCCCTGTTCCCTTAGCCTATTGCTAATCTTGCCCTGACAAGCCTCAGCCTTGCGTCCCTCCCACCACGGGCTGCCTTCACCCCTATTCAGATGCTACTGAACTGGGCCCTCACTGCACAAGGCAAGCCTCTGTCAGATCTCTAAGCCAGAGGCTGGCAAACCGTGGCCAGTGGTCTGTCTCCCAGTTCTTGTCTATTTCCCAAGCGAAGAATGATCTTTATATTTTTAAACAGAATTTTATTATTTTTTATCGCAATTGACTATTGTATCAGGGACTATACAATAATAGGTGGTGGCTGGATTTCGTCTGCAGAAGTCTGCCAACCCCTGTTCTAATCTGTTCACTATCCCACCCACCACAACAGCTGTCCCAAGCCTTTGCATCCTCCTCAAACCTCCCAAGGCTCCCCTCTTCCCACCCCCTCAGCTGAGAACCTCACCTCCAATTTCACTGAAAAACTGGAGGCCATTCACCAAGAGCTGATCTTCTCCCCTCCTCCTCATTTCACATGGTTCAGATGCCTTCCCCCACATCCTTTTCTGCCAGTCTCATGATGAAGTGGCCTTTCTAGCCAAGGCAAATGCCTAAACAGGCCTAAACAAAGTGGTCCCACCCCATGCCGCCTCCTTTGGAGCACTAGCCCCTCTCCCTACTGGTTCACTTACCATTCATCTTTCCCTCTCTACTGGTGGCTTCCTCACTGCCTGCAACCATATCTGTGTCTCCCCTATCCTCAGAAAACCCTCCCTTACCCCATCCAACCCTGCTAGCTGCCATTGCACACCTCTTCCCTGCTTCTTGGCTACACTCTGAGAAAGCCACCTGAAATCGGCATCTCCTCCCCCACCCCTCCATCCTTCTCCTTCCTGTCTCTGTCTCTGTCTCGGTCTCTGTCTCTCTCCCTCTCTCCTTCTCTGTCTCTTTGTCTCTCTCTCTCTCCCTCTCCTCTCTCTCTCTCTGTCTCTCTCTCTCTCTCTCTCTCTCTCTCTCTCTCTGTCTCTCTCTCTCTCTCTTTCTCTCTCCTCTCTCTCTCTCTCTCTCTCCCTCCTCTCCCTCTGTCTCTCTCTGTCTCTGTCTCTCTGTCTCTCTCTCTCTCCCTCTCTCTCTCCCTCTCCTCTCTCTGTCTCTGTCTCGGTCTCTGTCTCTCTCCCTCTCTCTTCCTCTCCTCTCCCTCTCCTCTCTCTGTCTCTGTCTCGGTCTCTGTCTCTCTCCCTCTCTCCCTCTCCCTCTCTCTTTCTCTGTCTCTGTCTCTGTCTCTCTCCCTCTCCCTCTCTCTCTCTCCCTCTGTCTCTCTCTCTCTCTCCTCTCTCCCTCTATCTCTCTCTCTCTCTCTCTCTTCCCTCTCTCCCTCTCCCTCTCCTCTCTCTTCCTCTCCCTCTCCCTCTCCCTCTCTCTGTTCTGTCTCGTCTCTGTCTCTCTCCCTCTCTCCCTCTCCCTCTCTCTTTCTCTGTCTCTTTGTTTCTCTCTCCCTCTCCCTCTCTCTCTCTCCCTCTCTCTCTCTTCTCCCTCTGTCTCCCTCTGTCCTCTCTCTGTCTCTCTCCCTCTCTCTCTCTCCCTCTCTCTTCCTCTCCCTCTCCCCTCTCCTCTGTCTCTCTCTTGTCTCTCTCCCTCTCTCCCTCTCCTCTCTCTCTTCTGTCTCTCTGTCTCTCCCTCTCCCTCCTCTCTCTCTCCCTCTGTCTCTCTCTCTCTCTCCCTCTCTCTCCCTCTATCTCTCTCTCTCTGTCTCTCTCTGTCTCCCTCTCTCTCCCTCTCCCTCTCCCTCTCTCTTCCTCTCCCTCTCCCTCTCCCTCTCTCTGTCTCTGCCTCGTCTCTGTCTCTCTCCCTCTCTCCTCTCCCTCTCTCTTCTCTGTCTCTTTTTCTCTCTCCCCCTCTCTCTCTCTCTCCCCTCTCTCTCCTCTCCCTCTCCCTCTCCTCTCTCTCTCTCTCTGTCTCTCTCTCTCTCTCTGTCTCTCTCTCTCTTCCTCTCTCTCCCTCCCTCTCTCTCCTTCTCTCTCCCTCTTTCTCTCTCTCCCTCTTTCTCTCTCTTTCCCTCCCCTCAGTGCTCCACGATCTCTCTTCTGACCTCATCATTGAGATGAACTGTTATCTCCAAAGTGACCAATGGTCTCTCCGTCCTCGTACCTCTTGACCCTCTGACACGATCAATTGCCATCTTCTCTTGAGATTTGATGGCCCGCTCTCTCCTGCTTCTCCTGTGTGTCTGACCACTCCTCCTCAGTCCTCTCAGCTAACTCGTCCTCCAGGGCATGGCCACTAACTGTAGGAGGCCCCCAGTCCTAAGCCCTCTTCTCTCCTCCCTCAGTCCTCTTCTGCTTGTGATCTTATCAGCTCCCATAGGTTCAACTCTCAGACCTCCTCGTCCAGCCCTGACCTCTCTCCTAACCTCCGGTCTCACATCTCCAACTGTCTACTGGGCATCTTGCAATGGATGGCCCACAAACATACTGAACTCATCGTGTCCAAAACTGATCTCATGATCTTTCCTCCCAAAGCCTCTTGTCTTCCTAACTTCCCTATGAACGTCAATGGCACTATCACCCTTCAGGCACTCAGCCTCAGAAGCCAGGCGTCACCCCTGTCCCTCCCAGCCAAGTCCCTCCTCTCTTCTGACTCGGCCACTGCCCTGGTGCCACTCTGACCCCAACAGCCTTCTCCTGGTCTCCCAGCACTCAACCTCCCCTCTGACCCACCCTCCCTCAGCCACCAGGATGATTCCACAGTGCTCACATCTGACCAAGCCACTGCCCTGCTCAAGGGTCTCCCACAGCTCCCTGTTGCTTCTCGGATCAATACAAAGTCCTTGGGTGGCCCTTCACAGCTCCCTATACCCTGGCCCCTTCCTGCCTTTTTGGCCTCATGCCCTGGTGCCCTTCACAAATTCTGTGCCAGACCATGGGCTCTTCCTCTACACTGGAGTCATTCTCCTGCCTCCAGACCCCTGCTTGGCTCTGTCCCCATGCCTGGGATGCTTTCTCAGCTCACTCCCCACTCCTAACAGGAAGCTGCTCCTGCCTCTTCCCCTTGGTTGGTGCCAATGCCCCAAATCTCCATGGCCTTGCTGGTCTGGTTACAGCTTGACTTCCCAGCTAAGCGGCACAACAGTCCTCAGTCAGGAAGACCTGATTTCTAATCTGGCCTCACTTAACTAGCTGCATAAACCTGGGACAGTTTCTTCATCTGTAAAATGGGGATGATAAAAGCTCTTATCTCCCACAGTTGTTGTGAGGATCAATGAGATAACTGTAAAGTGCTTAGCACAGTGCCTGGCACACAGTAGGCGCCACGTTAGCAATGATGATGATATAAACGCTCCTCAAGGGCACAATTTTTCCACTTGTCTTTGTGCCCACCATACCTTACACACAGTAGGTACTTCATTAAGGTTTGCTGGACTAGACTAGATTCCCAGAAGCCAAGCTCTGAGTTCTAATCCTGACCCTACTTTCCACTACCTATGTGACCCTGGGAAAGTCCCCCTCCTCTCCAAGCTTCACCTTTCCCAAGACTCTGTCCCACACAGGACCTGTAAATGGGAATGTATACCCCTGGACCCGGCCAAGGCCAGGATGGGAACGAATAGCAAAGTTACCTCTCACCTACCATGGCCTTCAGGGCCTCCAGGGCCCCAGAGCCCTTCTTCTGGCCAGGAGTGGTGTCCAGGGGACCTGCTTCCTTCATGGGGTGATGCCTCCAAGATGACCGGCAGGGTAGTAGAGCGCTCACACCTTCCCTGAGCTGTCTGCACTGGCCCGTGGAGTCATACTCCATGTCTGCAAGAGAGAAGAGAAATCTGAATCCTAGAGGGGGCTAGAAGCAGGTAAAGGCAGGCAGAATGAAACCCAGAAGGCCACCTGGAGGAAGGGGTCAGGAAAAGGAGGGTTTGTCCAGGAACAGGCCTGAAGCCCTCGCTGGGGATGGCTCAGGCCTGGGAAGACAGGAATGAGGAGTCTGGGGAGCCAGGGAAGGAATGAAGCGCCTCAGAGAAGACACGGAAGGAACAGCACTTGGAGGCCCTGGGGCACAACTGGGGAGGACAGGTTTCTGCCCCTCTCTGGGCCGCAGCTGCTCCCCTGTTGTAGCCTGAAGCGGGCAGGACGCAAGGGCCTCTGCCCCAGGAAGCCTCCCTGTGCACCATGGAGGGCTCCTGCTCCCCCTCACAGTGACCCTAGTATGACAGCTCCCTTCATTCCCCAGCCCTCCGTCCATCTCAGCGTGGTCTCTCCAGCGCCGGCAGCAGCTGGGCCTCGCCTCGGCTCTTCCCTTCGTATGGATCTCAGTCATTACTTTGATTCCCCTTCCAAAGAGCCCACCCGCAAAAAAGCTGCCCCTCACTTCTCTGGAAATCCACGCCCCTGACCACCCCCAGACCCACCCAGTCCTGCAGCCTCCAGCATTCTACCCTCCCCAGCTGCCCCACACACAAAGGGCTGACCCCAGGTCCTAACTGGGTGTAGGCAACAGGAGTGGAACCTTCCACAGTATGGAAGGCTTGCAAAAAACTTCCCAGATAATGCTGCATCCCAGAAAAGGTGGTCATGAGGCTATTATTACCCCCATTTTCCTCATGAGGAGACTGAGGCTTGAAAGGAGCAGCATGCCCTGGTCATGCGGCTAAGAAACGTCATCTTTGGCCCAGAGATCTCTGCACATCCTTCTGCCTCTGCCTTGGGACCCCACCCTCTGGAGGCCTCTGACCAGAGGCTAGATGGCCCCTCTGCCCCTTCCAGCTCTAAAGCGATGGCTGGGTGAGCCAGGATTGGAGAAGGGTTCTAGGTTAGGGAAGGGTAGGGCCCAGGGCCCGGGTGGGCCCTTCCAGCTGAGGTCTGATTCTGACCCCCCCAACGCCCATGACGCTCCCCCCCCCACACTACTACTGGTCTGTTCCTCTGGGGCCTCTTACACATGGAAGCCCACCATGTTCCCCTGGGATGGCCAAGCAATGATGACGAGTATGGGCCAGCCAGCCCTAGGATCCAGGGCCCCATCAAGGGAGGTGTGACCTGAGCAGGGCCTCCCTCCATAAGGCCTGTCCTGAGCCACTCTGGTCCCAGTACCAGGCCACCCCAGCCTCAACTGAAGACCCTCAGAGACCTGGGACCTCTCCAGCTGTCCTTGGAGCTCAGGACGCAGGAGGAGCCGCCCAAAGGCCAGGGCAGAGCACACGCCTCTGGACAGGGAAGTGCCAGGTTTACTCAGGGCACCCAGTCCTTTGGACATGTCCCCTCACTCTTCCAGGCCCGCTTTCTCCCCTCTGGAGCCCCTTGGAGCTCTCGTTGATGAGCCTGGCCCAGCTCCAGCCTCCTCTGTGGGGGCCTGGCCCACGTCTCCATCCACAGCAGAATCTCCCAACAGAGATGAGCTCCTTTAGGGCGGGGACTCGTTTCATCTTTGGCCCAGAGGCCAGGCGGCAAGGCACCTGACAGTGTTGTGCTTGGGAAGCCAACCCCTGCTCCTTCCGATGCCACCATCTTCTCTTGCCACGGTCCTCAGCTGGGCCATCTCTGACTGACCCACACCCTGCTCATTCTTCCTTCTTCCCACTTGGACTACCTGGCCCCTCCCCCAGATCTTACAACCTCCCAGCAGCAAGCCCCTACTGTGACCCAGACTGGAACAAGAATCTCGGTGGCCTGCCATGCAAGCACCAGCAGGATAGGCCAGGCTACTCTCGGACAGCTCCGTGGTCAGGTCAGTCTGCCTCAGTCCACACCTGCCCAACCCCAATGCTGCTGGTGCCGCCCTCTTGGCCCAAACAGTCTAGTCTAGTCCCTGTCCCAGGTGACAGCCCTTCCGCAGCTCTCAGGGTCCCCCAGTACCTTCCATGAAGCCCTGTAACCTAAAGCTCCGCCCCCCAGCAGCTCTGCCTGATTCTCCACAGTGCTCTGGGCTGGACTCCACCTGCCGGAACCCGCCCCTCTCCCATGTGTGTATGACTGGGGCAGCCGTCAAAGCAGCAGGAGGGACCCCTGGGGGAAGACTCCTCCCAGCCTGGAGTCCCCCTGGGCACCTTCAGTGACTACATTTCATCACAATCAATCAGCAGTGGAACAAGACCTGTGTGGATGTGGCCCTGGAGGACCGATGCACCCGCATCTGTCACGCAGCACTCCCCACACAGGAGTGGGTCCTGCAGGTGTCATGAGCCCCACTCAACAGAGGAGGAAACTGAGGCCAGGAAGTGTCAGGGCAGGGTAGGCTGGACCCCAGGCCTCGCACCTAGTCTGTACAATGGGCCCCCCACTCCCACAGAGGGCGGATTCAGGTCCCTTCTCGGTAGCAACCTGTGCACGGCAGCTAGGGGCACCACGGGGCACAGAGTGCTGCCCCCCACCCAGTTCAAGTTCAGCTTCTGACACTCGTCAGACTCCTGATCCAGGGCAAGGCATCCGAGCCTCAGTTTCTTCATCCAAAAAGTGGGGATGATGATGATACGCCTGCAGACTGTGGCTGTTAATGCGATGGATGGGCAGAGGGACGGCCACAGATCAGGACCCTGGCTTGTCTTTGCTCCTCCCTTCTACGGCCGCAGGACCAAGCATGGGGACCTCCAGCAACTGGGAGGACGAGGCAGAGAATGCCAGCGGGAAGGCTGCTCCTGCCTTCCTTCCTGAGCACCTAGTGTGTGCCAGGCCCTAGACACAGGGCGGCTGCTTGGGTTTCCTTGCCACAACCTCGCACACAGCAGGTGTTTAATCAATGTCTGTCGACTTGACTGGAGAGGGGGAACTGGGGAAAGGCAGAGGCCCTGGGTTCAAATCCACCCCTGCTATTTCATGCCATTAGATTGTAAGCTCCTAAAGGGCAGAGGCTGTCCTCTGCCTCTTTTTGTATCCTGGGCACCTAGCACACAGTAGGCACTTAATCAGTGTTTACTGACTCCCTGCCTGTGTGGCCTCCCCTACTTTGTAATGTAAGGGAGACTTGTTACCCCCACCCCCCACCCGACCTGGTTCTAGAGCCATGATCCCAGGAGACCTAGGTTCGAATCCTGTCCCTGATGTTAAACAGATGTGAGATCTGGGGCAAGTTATATCATCTTCCTGGGCTTCAGTTTACTCATCTGTAAAATGGGTCACAGTAAAGAAGACTCCTAACCCGTCTTGCAAACTTTAAAACACCCCTTCCTTCCAGCTTCCCCTCTGTTGAGTCTCAGTTAACTCCTGGGTAAAAAGCGGTGTGCCCTCCCCCTACGCCCACAATGGTCTCTCCCAACCCCCCCCCCCGTCCCGCAATGATCCCCGCCCACCGACTTCCATATATGGAAATATCCCACCCAGCGATCCTTGCACACCAAGACCCGCCCCTCCACAGGCCCGCTGACGCACTTAGGCAGCATTTCACAGGGGGGGAAGAGGAGGGGGAGGTCCAGCGCCCCACCACGTACCCAGAAGCTCTGCCTTCACTTCCCCACCCCGTTTACACAATGGTTTCTACGCCCTCACCCCCCCCCCGACTGGTCCCTTTCCCTTCACTCCCCCCAGCCAATGGGCGCGCCCACCCCGTCCTGCTCATTCATTGGTTCGGTTCCACACTCCGCGCCCCACCCCCGCGACTCCGGGACAGTGGTCTTCCCCAGTACAGGCGCACGCGCCCGCCCCCCTGCAGAGAAGATGGTCTCGCCCACTCCCGGCACTGGCCTCGGCCCAGAAAAAGCCCTCCCATCTGTGTGAGGGGTGGCGCCCATTGAGAAAGGCTGAGGCTCCGAGCGACGGACTCACCGGAGCCGTGGCCGCCAGCTTGCTCCTCACCCCCCCTTTTCGGCCCTTCACATCCGTCCGGCGGCCCCCTCAAATCGCTACGACCCCCCCCCTTCTCTAGCCAGCCCACACTTCCGCTTTCCCCGGCTCGCCTTAACAGCACCACGTGACTGGAACTGCAGTGCGCCGGCCCGGCGGGATCGCAAGGCGCATGCGAGCAATGGCTCTAGGCGGGCGGGGGACTGAGAGCGTGGAGCTGGGCCAGTGCGCAGGCGCATCCGCTTCGGTGCAGGAGCGTCAGACAGGTTCACCTGTCACTGGTTAATGGACCTCGAGGTCGGTGACGCGTAGACGTCCTCGAGGGCAGCCCAGTCCTGTTCTATCGATGGGGAAATTGAGGCCCAGGCGGAGAAGGGATTTCAGAATAATAGAATGCGGAATCGGAAAGAGCTTAGAGATCATCGAGGTCACCTTCCCCCCCATTACAAATGGGGAAACTGAGGCTCGAGATGGCACTATTCAAATGCTTGGAGGACCTCAGGATCTAGAATCTCAAAGGATATAGAAGAGACATAGATACAGCTACATATATTGGTATAGGTACGTATGCATACATATATGCACATATACGTGTATATACATGATAGGAATGAAAGAGAAATGGCACTTTCAGACCTCAAATGACACTGAAAATCAGTCACCATCAAACTCCTCGGGCCATTAATAAAGTAGATGAGTAGACTAGACTAGGTAAGCAAGAATGAGAAACAGTCAAATCTAATTTAAAAGCATTCATTAAGTACTGTTGCCCTAAGCGCTGGGGATACCAGTACAGAATCTGACAGTCTCTTGAGTCAAGAAGAGAATTCTAGAATCTGATAGGGAGAATGATGGCGGGCAAACTAAGACCTTGAACTAGTAGCAGGCACCCTTAACCTGGGGTCTGTGGAGAGAGCAGAAATGTACGTCTTTATTTTCATTCATCTCTAAATGAAATGTGGCGTTGTTCCGAGAAGGGGTTCATAGGCTTCACCAGGCTGATAAAAGAGTCCACATCACCAAAAGAAAAAAAAGGTTGAGCATCCCCAGTCTAAAGTGAACACTTCCTGTATTACAAGAATTGCTGGGGAAACTGGAAAGCACTTCAAAAATTAGGCCAACAAATTGTAGCACATTTCTTCAACATGTTCCAGATAGATACTTGACTTTGATGGCAAAAGGTCATAGCCCTTGTCTGGTGGCTCCTTCTGTACTACCTCCAAACATATCCCTGTCTTCCTCATCCTCAGAAAAAACCCACTTAACTGTCTTCCTGTATCTGGCTCTTGACAAGACCTTCTCCAATCAGGAGCTAGTTATTTTCCTCTCACTCTCCTTTTAACCCTCTAAAATCTGTCTTCCAGCCTCATCATTCCCCCCTCTGCAAAATGACCGATGATCTCCTAGTCGCCAGATCCAGCGGACTTTTCTCGCTCGTTCTTCTTATCCTCTCAGTTGCCTTTGATGCTGTCAATCACTCTCTCCTTCAGGATCTCCTCCTACCTGTCTGACCACTCCTCTACCTCCCTTGCTGGAAGGATCCTCATCCAGATCACCCCTTGTAACCATGGGCTCTGTCCTGGCCCCTCCTGTCTTCTCCCTCTAAACCACCTCGCTTGGTGATCTCATCAGCTCCAATGGACATAATTATCATGATTCTGAAATCTCCCTATCTAGGTCTAACCTCTCTACTAACATCCACTCTCACTTCTCCAACTATTTCAGACATCTGAAACTGGATGTCTAGTAGATATGATAACAATAATAACAATTGACATATAGTGCTGTGTGCCAGGCACTGTATTAAGCATTCTTTTACAAATATCTCATTTGATCCTCAAAAACAACCGTGGGATATAGGTACTATGATCCCCTTTTAGAGATGAGGAAACAGAGGCAAATGGGTTAATTGATTTCTCCAAGGTCACACAACTAATAAGGGTCAGGCCAGATTTTAACTCAGGTCTTCTTGAGCACAGGCCTGGGACTGCATTCACTGAACCACTGTAAACTCAATGTGTCCAAAATTGAACTCATTATCTTACCCCCCCCCAAACCTTCCACCCCTCCAACCTTCCCTATTACTGTAAAGGGCACCCACCTTCCCAGTGCCTCAGACTTGCCACCCAGGAGTCATCCTGGATACCTCACTCTTTCTCACCTCACCATATCCAAGTTGTTGTCAAGCCTTCGATTTCACCTTTTTGATATCTCCCAAATATGCCCTTCTCTCCCCTGTTACTGCCACCACTCTGGTGTAGGCCCTCATCACCTCAAGTCTCTCTCCATTCTTCATTTAGTCACTAAAGTGATTTTCCTAAAGTGGAAATCTGAGCAGGTCACACACACCCTGTCTCTCCCACTCAAAAAGCTCCAGTGGCTCCCTGTCGCCTCCAGTATGAAATGCAAAATCCTCTGTTTGGTGTTCAAAGCCCTTCATAACCTAGCCCCCTTCTCCTTTTCAGTCTTCTTACACCTTACATCCATACCCATACCCCCCCCCATAAGCTGCAATCCACTGACACTAACCTCCTGGTAGTTTGGGGGTTTTGTTTGTTTTTGTTTTGTTTTGTTTTTTAACCTGGTGCATTCTATCTCAGCTCAGGGCATTTTCTCTAGCTGTCTCCATGCCTGGAACACTCTGCTCCCTCTTCTCCATCTCCTGATTTCACTGACTTCTTTCAAATCTTTCAGATCCCAACTATTAAATCCCATCTTCTACATGAACCCTCTCAATTCTACTGCCTTCCCTCTGTTAATTATTACCTATTTTTTGTATATGTAGCTTGTTCATGCATAGTTTTTTGCATGTTTTCTCCCCCATTAGATTGTGATTGAGTTCATTGAGGGCAAGGACTGTCTCTTGTCCCTCTTTGTATCCCCAATACTTAGCACAGTGCCTGGAACATAGTAGGAACTTAATAAATGCTTATCAACTGACAAATTACTCTTAAAAAATAAAAAAGTAAGGGCAGCTTGATGGTGCGGTGGATAGAGCACCAGCTATGGAGTCAGGAAGACCTGAGTTCATATCGGGCCTTAGACACATAGCACTCAGTAGCTGTGTGACTCTGGGCAAGTCCCTTAACCCCAATTGCCTCACAAAAATAAATAATTAAATAAATAAATGAATAAATAAATAAATAAATAAATGAATGAATAAATGCTCAAACATATGAATAGATGAATGAATAAGTGAAAATGTAGGGAATGATCTTGCATAACTATGACTACAGGAGAAATCCTGTACAAAACAAGTAATAGAGGAGAACACAAAAATAAATGGGAAATTTCATTTACATAAAATTGGAAGGCTTTTGCATGAACAAGATCAAAATAGCTAGGATAATAAGGGAAATTATCAATTGGGAAAAAATCTTTGAATCAAATATATATAGTAAAGGTCTGATATACTTTATGTGTATATGTATGAATTTTATATATATGTATATGAATTAACTCACAAATATAAGACCAAGAACCATTTTCTAATGGATAATTGTTAAAGTATATGAGCAAAAGGTTACCTCAAACAAGGAAATGCAATTGCAATGAATAGGCAGACTTATGAAAGATTGCTCCAAATCTTTAATAATGAAAGAGAGGCAAAGTAGAACAACTCTAATGTTCTACTTCACACCTAGCCAAAATGACAGAAGGATATAATTAGTGTTGGAGGCTGTGAAAAAGACAGATACACTAATACACTGCTACTGGAGCTACAAATCAGTACAAGCATTCTGGATAGCAATTTGGAATTACTTTTTAAAAGCTACTGAAATGTCCATCCCCTTTGACCCATCAATCTCAATGCTTGTCATATACTTCCTAAGGAGATGAAAGACAGAAAGTGAGACCCCCATGTTCACCATAATACAAATAGCAGTACTTTTGGCAAAGAACTAGGAGGGGTGAATGGGAGTAGGTGCCAATCAATTGGCTAAACATGTTGGGGTATGTGAATGCAATAGAACATTATTGTGCTGTAAGAAATGATGATCTAGAAGGATTAAGAGAATTATGGGAAAACATGAACTGACGAAGATGGAAGTAAGCAGATACAGGAAAAAAAAGTATATACAATGATGTAAATCACAAAATAAATGAAATTGAATTTGCATAATTATGACTAAGCCCAGCCCAGGCTGAGTTGAGAAAAGGCATTGCTCCTCCCTGCATGGCAGAAGTGGGGAGAAATGGGGTGTGGGTGTGGCTACATTGCATAGACTGTCAGACACAGTTGATACATTGGTTGGCTGTGCAGAGCTATTTTGTTGGGGGGGGTTCTCTTTTTCTTTTTTAATCTTCGTTGTAAGGAAAGGCTCACTGAGAATTGAGTGGAATATATATTCAAAGATGAATATGATGTAAAAATAAAATGTATCAAGAAAAAAAGAAAGCATGGGTGAATGAAAAACTCTTGAAACTTTTCTCCTCATCATAAAAAGTAGGGAAGGCATTATGGACATCTCACATTTTCTTCATGTGCCAGAAATGATTACCCATCCTGAAGAACAATGTGGATACTGAAAGCAGGACACATTCATCACTACTGTTTTCATCATTTCACATTAAATCTTGACCTTTGCCCCCCACCCCCTACAGATGAATTTTATGTCATTTTTGCCCAGCCATGCTTCACTTTGCTGGCTACTCTCCAGCTGTCCCCTTGGCAACTTCCACCCAACCTCACTCCAGTTCTGCAGCCTTGAACCATGATCAAAGCAATTCAGCCAGTGCTCCTGAATGGAGTGGATTGCTCTGCTCCCCTGTGGCCCCATTCACTATCCCTTCAACTTGGCTGACCAAAGCTGGCTTTGGCTCCCTGTCCACCGCTGGCTAAGAGCAGGATCCAGCTAAAGTGGGAGTCAGAAGTGTTTCTAAGCTCGTAAGCCACTTCACCAGGAAGAGGCCCAACCCTGGGGATTGCCCTGGGGAAGTCACTTTTTCTGATAAGGTACTGCCAATGTGAGAGAGGACTGATAAAGACTCAGTAATGAGTCATAAGAGATATTCTACCCACTAACACACACACACGCACGTTCTCACAATCCAGCAAAACAGATCAATATATTGGCTCTGTCTCAGAATGTATGTCTCCTCCATCTCTAGTCTATGACCTCTCTGCCAATCAGTAGGAGGCACATTACATCATTAGGCTTTTGAAGTCACTGTGGTTCACTTTGATCTGAAGACTCTTTGAATCAGAGAGAGAGAGCTGGGCTGGAAGCCAGACCTGAATTGGAGTGCAAATCTGCCACCCTCTCATTCTGTGACATGGGGCAAGTCTTTCCCCTTCCCTCCATGCTCCTTGGTTTTTCTCTTCAGTGCAACAAGGGGAGAGGAGATGCAAGGATGTCTATTTTATGCATTCCTTCCAGCATGGAAATATTCTGCCTTCATTGACCATCCAGGATATATAG